CACACTGTTAGTTCCTTGGGGCAGAGACCTTTCAGTTTGACTTATGTCTGTTGCTCTGTTAAAATGCACACTGATAGCCCTACTTGAAGGTGGACAAGAAGTCAGTCACAAAAACATCACCTTTCATGAAACAGTAATCCAGGGCTGGTTACTACTGCCTAACCAGGAGGGCATGACAGTTTGGATGCATTTCACTGCATTTGGAAAGCGACCTGGCTGGGATGGTGCTTTGGGAAGGCGCTGGTAGAAACGGAGGAAGATTTCAAGGTGGAACATTTTGAGCATTCCTTTTTCCCAAACACATGAATTCCCCTTATACAACATACATTTATCAACTTATGTTGTTGTTGTTCAGTCGCACAGTCGAGTCCGACTCTTCGCAACCCCATGGACCACATCATGCCAGGCCCTCCTATCTTCTGTCGTGCTCCGGAGTTTGCTTAACTTCATTTATCAATTTATAAATAAGCTTAAATAGATGTCAGCACGCTTGCTCACAGTCCTCCAGACCATTTGAAAATTTATCTTACAATCTCCAAACCGGGCAATGGTTGGTGGAACATCCACGTAATCGGCCCCCTCCCTTTAAGCTGTTTGCACCTATAATCTCCCCCATCCCCCGGAAGAATGGGAATATGACACAGGGACTTGGTTCCCACAGTTCCACAGGCATATGCAAAGGGATCTGTAATACTGTTTACCAGAGCCGATCAGGTGAGAAAGTTGCGCCACAGAAGGGCCAACGTTAACCCCTACTCTGAAAATCAGTCTGGTTTCATCTGCGACTCTAATCTGCGAATCTAATTTGATTCCCCACTCCTCCACATGCAGCTGCTGGTGTGACCTTGGGCCAGTCACAAGTTATTTCAGAGCTGTTCTCTCAAGATCAGTCCTTGAAAGAGCTCTGTCAACCCCACCTACCTCACCGCGTGTCTGTTGTGGGGAGGGGAAGGAAAAGGAGATTGTAAGCCGCTCTGAGACTCCTTCAGGTAGTGAAGGGCGGGGTATAAATCCAATCTCTTCTTCTTCTTCGATATCAGGTGTAATTCGCCTTACGTTTTTTTTACAGGCTCTGATGCATGGAACACCACGCAGTTCGCTCTCTGCATGGCTGGACTGTTGGTTCTACAGGGCTTAATTCAAGACAACAGCTGTGGGTTTTGCCATGCAAACCCCAAGCCAACAGGTCTGCCAAGTACACTGGCATTTTTACACTGTTATCTTTAACACTGCAAGATTGTGAAGGAAGTTGGTGTCCTGGCTTGAAATTCAAACTGGGGTGTTCAGAGATCTGGGCTTGGGAAGGTGGAGAAAGCCAACATTGGCTGGAAAAGGTAACCATGAAGCATTGTCACTAAATTACTCAGTTTTTTGACTTTAAAGCGGTTGGTGCTTTGCCCAGATTCTTATAAAAAAGCATATTTGGTTCCTGCCTTTTAAGGCGTTGCCTTGCTTTCTGGAGAATGCCTCACGTGTACATCCTGTGCTTAGTCACGGTTATTGATTTATTGATTTATTTTCTATATTTAGACCTCTCTCAACATTTTCGTGCTCAGCTGCTGAATCTAAGCATCATAAAGGGCAGATCTGCCTCCTCTTCTGCCACAAGGAAGCATGATTAAAGAAGAGAAGAAGAGATTGGAGTTAGACCCCGCCCTTCACTACCTGAAGAAAATCTTAGAGCGGCTTACAATTTCCTTTCCCTTCCCCTCCCCACAATAGACACCCTGTTGATATTTATTCTTAGGCCAGCTACGTCCAAAGTTCAAAGGCTAGCTACAAGTCCAAGTTCTTGTTTCAAAATATGGATCGAGCCTAATGGATTCTCCAATATGAATACGAAATCATCAGCAAATGCCAAGAGTTTATATTCCTCCTTTCAATTTCAGGCCCTTAATCTCTTCTTGTCCTCTTATTGAATCATTAAGTATCTCCAAAGCAAAAATAAACAACAGAGGGGAAAGCGAACATCCCTGTCTAGTCCCTTTCTGAATTTCAATATGTTGTGTCTGACGCTCTTAACCACTACACTATGTTGGCTCTTGATTAGTAAGTCTCCGCAGCCCAGAGACTGGTTGTTGTTTCTCCTTTAATAGGAAGCAGCACACGTGAGATCCCAGAGTAAGTAATAAATATCCACAGGAAGAAGAAGAAGAAGAAGAGATTGGATTTATACCCCGCCCTTCACAACCCAAAGGAGTCTCAGAGCGGCTCACAAACTCCTTTCCCTTCCCCTCCCCACAACAGACACCCTGTCAGGTAGGTGGGACTGAGAGAGCTCTGACAGAGACTGCTCTTTTTTCAAGGACAGCTGTGCCAGAACTACGGCTTGCCCAAGGCCATCCAGCAGCTGCAAGTGGAGGAGTGGGGAATCAAACCCGGTTCTCCCAGATTTAGAGTTTGTGCACTTAACCACTACACCAAACTGGCACCCTGCACGATCGTTTTACTGAACTGTCATAAATATATGCAGGGCTTTTTTTTCTGGGGGCATGTGCCAGAAGGCAGTTCCGGAACCTCCTCGACAAAATACTTTTAAAAATGTTTAAAAGTTCATGGGCTTTCAGGATACAGACTGAAAACGTCATCTCCCTCTTTGAGAGTTCCAGCACCTCTTTTTCAAATAAATAAATAAATAAATAAATAAAAGCCCTGAATATACCCATCATTCATACTTGGATTAGTGGCAACTGCTCCCATCGATCTGCTGTCTGTAAAACACCTCTAAGAAGCCCTTCAGTCCTATCAAAATCTTCAGCCCTGCCACTCCCTTCACATATGGGTTATCCTAGCATTCCGCCTCCCCGCTCCAATATGCACGAAAAAAGGGAAAATGGAATCTTTCAGAGCCACAGGCCGCTGGCCTCTGCCTGGTCAGTTTTCTATGGCTGCTGTTCCACGGTCCCTACAGCCAACTCCTCTCTGCATTTTCCTACTTTTTCCTAGTCTTTCATTCTCTTGGATCTTGCTAGTAAAGATAAAGGTTTCCCTTGCTCGAAAGCCAGTCGAATTCGACTCTAGGGGGCGGTGCTCATCTCCGTTTCCAAGCTGAAGAGTTCTCCATGGTCATGTGGCCGGCTTCAAAAGGGAATTAGATAAGCATATGGAGCAGAGGTCCATCCTGGTGGACCTCCTGATGGCACTGGTATTTCTGGCCACTGTGTGACACAGGGTGTTGGACTGGATGGGCCTTTGGCCTGATCCAACATTGGCGTCTCTTATGTTCTTATGTTATGTTCTTATGACTAAACGCCGAGGCGCATGGAACACTGTTACCTTCCCACCGAAGTGGTACCTATTTATCGACTTGCAATTTCTTGCTTTCGAACTGCTATGTTGGCAGGAGCTGGGGCCTGAGACGGGAGCTCACTCCATCACGCGGCACTTAAGAGTCTCGAACTGCCGAACTACAGACCTTCCGGTCTGCAGCTCAGCGTCTTAACCTCTGAGCCACCACGGCCCCTTTGGGTTTTGCTAAATCATCTCAAATTCCAAAACCAGAAAGAATAAACAATGCAAATAAGTTACCTGCACATGTGCTTTATTGGCCTGTACTAGCCACCCAAGGAAGAAATTGTAATTCTTTTGGCCGGACATACCCAGAGCTCAGAAGCCCCTTTTCCCCCTTGTCTGAGTTGGAGGGAAACTACCAATGTCCAGCCTACTTACCAACACAAAATTAGTTGAAAACGACAAGGACAGACCTGGGAGTGAGCAGCGCCAAAATAGTTGAGCTGACCCTTAGCTGGATGAGATGGTGGCATCATACAGGGTGAGAGTGGCAAATTCTAGTCTATGTAACACTACAAAAGTGCTATGTACCTCGATAAATTATAATATTAGTAGTAATATTGGTGGTGGAAAGTGCCATCAAGTCACAGCTTATGGCGGCTCCACGGGCTTTTCAAAGCAAGAGACGAGCAGAGGTGGTCTGCCATTGCCTGCCTCTGTGTCGTGACCCTGGGCTTCCTTGATGGTCTTGGCCTCCCATCCAAGTACCAACCAGGGCCGACCCTGCTTAGCTTCTGAGATCTGATGAGATCGGGCTAAGCCTGGGCAATTCAGGTCAAGATAGTAGTTACATGACCACTAATTATAAAAGGAGACTTGACCTCCCCCCCCCCCAAAAAAAAAGTATGGAAGCAGCTCACTTACTGAACTGAAAATGAAATCTGCACTCGGAATTGGCATCCTTGATTTTATGCACAAAGACATTCTGTATTTGGTTTGCTCCCTTCCTGACATCTCACATCCCAAAATATCGAACAGCAGCAGCAACGTTAACAATGTCAAGGCAAGTGTAGGAGGGGGCCTTACCAATATCTGTCGCTGAGGATATCGTTTTGGCTGTTGTGGTTTTGTGCCTCGACCCCCCAGCACTCCGCGGAACGCCGGCTCGGCACAAAGGAATGGCACTGTGGACGTCATTTTTACGGCCAACGAGAGCATTGGTTGGATACAGGAACTTTGCATAAGACACAACCTGCAGAGAGGGAGAGAGAGGGAAAGGGAGAGATCCATTAGCATTGGCAAAGAAGCACCTTGCAATTGATTTGCAAAGGTTTTTTTTGATGCTTCAGTTTCCATTTTCAAAGTAACCAATGGAAATGGTTAGCAGTGGCCTGCAGCCAATCATCCAGACTGGAATTTTCCTTCTTGCCCCGCCCTACATCAGACCATTGTATCTTCTGAAAGTTTATTCCTAAAGAGTCCATGGAACCCTTAGAGAAGGGGGAGGGTCTCCCATGGGGGTAGGGATCAGCAGAAATCACCAACCCCTCTTCTGGAGAACAGAAATACTGTTCCATAAAGAAGAACTGTGTGGGGTTGGATCTGAACACAGATACCATGGCTCAGTTTTCCTGCTAGTCCTTAAACACAGGTGATAATTTTCCAAGATCGCAATGGAATATTTGGAAAAACGAATAGTTCTACTACTTCGACTTTGTCAGATACCAGTCACTTCTTTGTGAAGCAGATTCTCCTATAAAAAAGGACCTTGGTTGTAATTCTACTTGTTTTTTTAAAAGTATGGTCGGGGAGAAGGGAAAAGGCAACGAAGGGTATTCATATACTGCTCCGCTTCTTCCTTGTAATTTATTCCAAAATATTGAGTTCTATTTCAGAACAAGTCAGTACCTTTAATGGAAGGATTAAAACGCAAGTGATTAAAATGTGAAATTTGCTGCCAGAAGATGTAGGAATGGCCAGAGGAATAAACAGCTTTAAAAGGGGATTAGATAGATTCATGGAGGGCAAGTCTTATCAATGGCTACATAGCCGTGGTGACTGAGGGGAACCTCCACACTCAGAGGCACTAATCCTCTGAATCTCAAGAGCCAGGAGAAAACATCAGGGGAACATCTTGGCCTCTTATGCCCTGTAGTTGGTCCTCCAGAGGAACTGGTTGGCCACTGTGTGAGAGAGGATGCTAGACTAGGCGGACTATTGGTTTGATCCAGCAGGGCTCTTCTTGTGTTCCTACGTTAAGGATTTTCACTCTGCTCTGCAAAACATTTCAGAGCCATAAAAGACAAGGATTAGATAGATTCATGGAGGGCAAGTCTTATCAATGGCTACATAGCCGTGGTGACTGAGGGGAACCTCCACACTCAGAGGCACTAATCCTCTGAATCTCAAGAGCCAGGAGGCAGCATCAGGGGAACATCTTGGCCTCTTATGCCCTGTAGTTGGTCCTCCAGAGGAACTGGTTGGCCACTGTGTGAGAGAGGATGCTAGACTAGGCGGACTATTGGTTTGATCCAGCAGGGCTCTTCTTGTGTTCCTATGTTAAGGATTTTCACTCTACTCTGCAAAACATTTCAAAGCCATAAAAGGCAAGAAAATGGCAGGAGTCCAGTAGTCTGTTGCAGCAGAAACCCACAAGAGTCCAGTAGCGCCTTAAAGACGTCACAAAACTTGTGGCAGGGGATGAGCTCTCGAAAGCTCAACTCCTGCCACAAACTTTGTTAGTCTTTAAGGTGCTACTGGACTCTTGCGGGTTTCTACTGCTACAGACAGACAGACAGACAGACAGATGCACAGGGCTACCCATCTTGATCTATCACGCAAGAAAAGTACTGGTAGGAAGTACTGGTTCTGACATCTGAGAGACTTCTCTTCTTTCTAAACATTCATTCAGCTAGTAGCTAAAGATGCTTCCTCAGTGTGAAGAGGCTTGCTTGAAAAGGGCATCGATGACTGCAGGCGACTAGAAAAAGTACACCCCGGACCTCTTCAGGAGGTGGCAGGAGAGAAAAGAGTCGGGCAGCTCCAATGCAGCCGACAGAAGAAGCGGAAGCTGCAGTTCACAGATGTTGGGCAAGAAAGAGCTTTCTGGAACTCCCAGTACATGGAGTGTGGTGGGGCACTGCATTCTGGGACCTGCATTCTGCCCTGTGACTCAGGCAGAGACTACCAGAGGCTCCCCGCAGTCTCTCCTTACCAGGAAACCAACCCTATAAAATCCTTCCCTGGAACTTTCCACCAATTGGGAGTGTGGGGAGAGAAAAATAGCATCCCTCTGTCAGCAAGCTGCCATTCTGTTTTCTGTGACCTCTGTGTACATATTCTTTCCCTGTTGCACCCGGCTTGGTTTCTATCATCCTACTCCTGCGTTGGAATGCAAAAGATAACTGCTGGAGGTTGTGTGGGGGAGAAGATGCTGTAATGCTTGGCTATTGCTTTTCCCATGACTACTGCACCTGTGTTATGTCTAATATCCTGCCTGGTTCCCATGGACTGGGCGCGCAACCGTTCCATTAGCCCGCCAGCGGGAAAGTTATTCATTGGACCTGTATCTCTTTGAAGTTCCTTTATTATGCTTGATCTAACTGTGTATCCCCAGTTCTAACAAAGAACGTGTTTGAGTATGTCGTCAACGCTTTGAAATAAATTTTGCTTTTCTTAAAACGTGGATTTATTCTCGATGCTTGGGGATCCAACACCCTCTTCCTAGAAGAGCAAAAGAACTTTCTAGAACTTTAAAACAGGTAGGTATGAATAGGCTCGGAGAAAGGAACTATTTCAGGGCTCAACTTCATGTTCAGATTCCCTTCCATGTTTAAAACAAACATCTTTTTTCTTTTTAAAATTTAGCTACCTGGATGATTCCCCTTTTATTGAGAGGAACGGCAGCTTGTGTTAAGAGCGCATGCAAGAGAGAGAGATTTTAACCCTTTCCTCCCGTGCAGCTTTCTAGCTGGAAAAAAAGCCTTCCCAGAACTGCTGCCTCCACCGAGGAAAGGATAACGGTGCTTGTACACTCCTCCCCTCCGCCCCCAGCAGTGGTAAAAGCAGCTTGCAGTGATGAAGAGAAGAGAGAAGAAGAGATTAGATTTATACCCCACCCTTTACTACCCAGCGAAGTCTCAGAACGGCTCACAATCCCTTTCCCTTCCCCTCCCCACAATAGACACCCTGTGAGGTAGGTGGGGCTGAGAGAGCTCTTTTGAGGATTGCTCGTGAGAGAACAGCTCTGAGAAAACTGTGACTGACCCAAGGTCACACCAGCAGCTGCAAGTGGAGGAGTGGGGAACTGAACCCGGTTCTCCCAGATTAGAGTCCATGCTCCTAACCACTATACCAAACTGGCTAGTGGGCCAACTCAGATGTCAATGGCACAACCCGTGCACACTCTTCCCATCAACTGTGAATGGCGTGAGCGCGTTCACATGTATTTGAAACATTTGTTAGCCACTTTTCTCCCTTGTGGCCTACAATACAAATAAAAATAAAAACGGCCAACTCACATGTCAATGGCACATCCCGTGCACACTCTTCCCATCAACTGTGAATGGCGTGAGCGTGTTTACATTTATTTGAAACATTTGTTAGCCACTTTTCTCCCTTGTGGCCTGCAATACAAATAAAAATAAAAACAAGAAGAAGAGGAGATTGGATTTATAGCTTGCCCTTCACTACCCAAAGGTGTCTCAGAGCGGCTTACGAACTCCTTTCCCTTCCCCTCCCCACAACAGACACCCTGTGAGGTAGGTGGGGCTGAGAGAGCTTTTGACAGAAACGGCTCTTTTCCAGAACACCTCTGACAGAACTATGGCTTGCCCAAGGTCATCCAGCAGGTGCAAGTGGAGGAGTGGGGGAATCAAACCCGGTTCTCCCAGATTAGAGTCCGCGCACTTTAACCACTACACCAAACTGGCCATTATAAAATCCATAAAAGCCACTGTTTCGATAACCTGACTTTCTCAACATTTGCATCAGAACTGGCAATTCTGTGCGACTTCCAACCAGAAGCAGAGAAGTGCAGTTCAGCGACGGACTCCTCAACGCACACCCCCACAGATCCGTACCTTGCCATCTGCTCCCACTTCGACGCCTTCCATTCCTAGCACCATCTCCGAAGACACGGAAACTCCTCCGGAGGGATGCCTCTGCTTTGGTCCTTCTATTTTCAGCTCACTGTGAAGCACATAGTTGGTGAGACCGGAATTAAAGCCGCTCGTTTTGCTTCTAGCCTAAGCCATGGTAGCATTAAAACAAGAATGCACCAAACCCCCCCCCCCCCCCCCCCCAACTTGCACAGCTACCAAAAGATTAGAAGGGCAATTCCCACAGCTTTCTTGCTCCTCTAAAGATTTATTTGACAAAACTCAAGAAAGACAGACCTCTAGAACCAGCACAGACGTCATGCCTTCCTTTTTTAAAAAATAATTCCTCTACACATTATTTGCATACACAAGAGCGCGCACACACACACACACACACAAACAAAGTACAATTCCTGTCAGCAGTTCCCATGACTGGTTGCATCCCCTGAGCACGTTATGTGACTGGCTTATAAACTGCCGCTTGCTGCCTGTGAGTTTCTCAGGGAGCAAACAGAAAGATTAAATTTTAATAGGAAAATACAAGCAGTTTACCCAGCTATGGGAGTCTGCTTGCAAAGGCTCCCCTATACCTAGAATCAAGGTCTACAAGAAGAGGAGTAGGTATTTATATCCTGCTTTCGAAAGCAAGAAATTGCAAGTAGATAAATAGGTACCACTTCGGTGGGAAGGTAACAGCGTTCCGTGCGCCTTGGTGTTTAGTCATGCCGGCCACATGACCACGGAAACGTCTTCGGACAGCGCTGGCTCTTCGGCTTTGAAACGGAGATGAGCACCGCAACCCTAGAGTCTGATTCGACTGGTTTTTGAGCAAGGGAACCTTTACCTTTTTCTCTACCTTAAAGAGTCTCAAAGCAGCTTACAATCACCTTCTCTTCCTCTCCCCACAACAGGCACCTTGTGAGGTAGGTGGGGCTGAGAGGGTTCTGAGAGAACCGTGACTGGCCCAAGGTCACCCAGGAGGCTTCACGTGGAGGCATGGGGAATGAAACCTGGTTCTCCCGTTTAGAGCCTCCCTCTCATAATCACTACACCATACTGGCTCCGTCCTCCATTCCTCGAAAAAGGGAAAGGTTTTCTAGCACTTACTAGTCCATAAGGGGTTTTCAGGTCCAGTATGATCTGGACAACTATATACAAACCTGTTTCTTTGTCAAGCATGTATTAAGAGACCTTAACATTCTGAGCTCATGACCCGGAACGAAAGCTTTCCGCTCCGAAGCTCCAGAGACATCAAAAATGTACTGCTTCTCAAGAAAAAGCTGTATATGCATGCAATTAAACCAATTAAACAAGTCCTCCCCACAAAAGCTGGCTAGCAGCTGATGGGAAGACATGTCTGTACAATTCAATTGGGATTTTTAGCAGGAGTCTTGGGTAACATTGGCTCCAACTAACACCTCTCTCTGCT